CTCTGTCTATCTGAGTAAAGAATCTTCTCACTCTTCTTCTTGCGTAATTCCTCAAGATAATCTGCCAGTCATATCATCTCTTTCCCAGTTTCGGCTATTGTCACATACTCAGCTTCAGTAGATGAAACAGAAACACACTTCTGAAGCCTGGACATCCAACTCACTGCTGTTCCACCTATGGTGTAAATGTACCCGGATGTACTCTTGCTCGAGTCAACATCCCCACCAAGATCAGCATCCACAAAACCCTGTAGAGTCACATTGCCTTTGCCAAAACAAAGTGAAGTACTGGATGTACCTCTTAGATATCTTAGAAGCCACTTCACAGCTTCCCAATGCTCTTTCCCAGGGTTCATCATGTATCTGCTAACAACTCCCACTGCATGTGCTATATCAGGTCCACTGCAGACTATAACATACATCAAACTATTAAATGTTGAAGCATATGGAACAAGTGTCATCTGATCACGCTCCTCGGCAGTCTTGGGGCACTGCTCCTTTGACAATTTAAAGTGATTTGCCAATGGAGTAGTCCTCGTTTTAGCATCATTAACCCTGAATCTGCTCAGCACCTTCTCAATGTACAAATCCTGAGATAGATTTAAAGTGCCAACAGATCTATCCCGAGAAATCTTCATCCCCAAAATCTGCTTCGCTGGACCCAAATCTTTCATCTCAAATGTTGCAGACAACCTTGTGTTCAGATTGTTAATATCCCTCATACTAGATCCTGCAATCAACATATCATCCACATACAAGAGTAGAAAGACATATGAATCAGTGTATTTCTTGAAGTAACAACAAGGATCTTTTTCAGCTTTACAGAATTCACTCTTGGTCATGAAGGAGTCAAATTTCTTGTACCACTACCTTGGTGCTTGCTTTAGTCCATACAAGCTTCTGGTGAGCTTGCACACCATGTGTTCCTTGCCTGGAACCACAAATCCTTTCGGTTGTTGCATATAGATCTCTTTGTCCATATCTCCATGTAAAAATGCTGTTTTTACATCCATTTGCTCTAGATGCAAATTCTCCGATGCAACAATACTCAACAGAATTCGAATAGAGGTTAACTTCACAACAAGAGAAAATACTTCAGCATAATCAATACCTTTCCTTTGTGAATATCCTTTAACCACTAAACGAGCCTTGAACCTTCTTTTGCCATCTGGTTCAGTCTTGATTCTGAACACCCACTTGTTTAACAAAGCTCTCTTCCCTACAGGTAACTCAATCAACACCCATGTGTCGTTCTTCTCAAGTGATCTCATCTCATCATCCATGGCTTGCTCCCACTTGATCGAATCATCCACCTGTAGGGCCTCATCAAAAGACTTTAGTTCCCCCTCATCAGTCAGCAATAGATAATGTAATGAAGGTGAATACCTATCTGGTGCCCTGATGGATCTGGATGATCTCCTTAACACCTGCTCAGGTGTAACTTGCTCCACTTCAGATTCTTCAGTAGGAGTTAGTTGAGTATTTGCTTCGACATCTATGGGGTTACTCTTTACCAACTCAACCTCAACTCCCACTTGCTTTGCAATCTCTAGAACCTTCTGCTCTCTGTCCTTGTACAGGACAGACTCATCAAATGTCACGTCACAATGTCTCAGGATCTTTTTGTTCTTGTCATCCCAAAACATGTAACCAAACAAATCAGAACCATAGCCTATGAAGTAACACTTCACAGCCTTGGCATTAAGCTTGTCTCTCTTTTCTGGATCAACATGAACATAAGCAGTGCAACCAAAAGTCCTCAAGTGTGAGTACTTGAGTTCTTTTCCTGTCCACACCTTCTCTGGAATCTTGAACCCTAAAGGAACTGATGGTCCCCTGTTGATCAAGTATGCAGTTGTGCTCACAGCATCCACCCAAAGTGTTTTGGGCAGCCCACATTGTATCTTCATACTCCTTGCACGCTCATTCAATGTTCTGTTCATCCTATCAGCAATTCCATTCTGCCTTGCCTTACCAGGAACTGTTCTCATCAATCTAATTCCCTCAGCTGCATAGAATGCCTTGAGCTCTGATTTTTCATACTCTCCTCCATTGTCAGACCTTAGGCATTTGACTTTCAAACTGGTCTGATTCTCAACTTCAGCTTTCCACTTCTTGAAAGTTGCAAACACATCTGACTTATGCTTCAAGAAGTAAACCCATACCTTCCTGCTGAAATCATCAATGAAGATAACATAGAATCTGGATCCTCCAAGTGATGATACTGGAGATGGTCCCCAAACATCTGTATGGACCATTTCCAACCGCACTTTCTTTGGCTCTCTAGGAGTCTTTGTGAAGCTTATTCTTTTCTGTTTTCCATAACACAGCTCTCGCAAAGACCCATATCAACAGACATCAGACCCTCTAATGCTCCTTTTGCAACCAGTATCTTCATTCCTTTAGCACTCATGTGTCCAAGTCTGTTGTGCCACAAACATGAATCGGAAGCACCTTCAGCAACAGCGGCCATGTTTATACACCCTGCAGTGGTGTACAAGGTTCCAGATTTGGTGCCACGAGATACTACCATAACACCTTTCACGATCTTCCACGGACCTTTCCCAAACCCTGCAGCATATCCCGTGCTATCCAACTGACCAACAGAGATCAGATTTTTCTTGATCCAGGAATATATCTGACACCCTCCAATGTCCATTGGTTTCCCGAGGTGGTCTTTATGCAAACATCCCCCTTTCCTTCAATCTCTAAGGCTTTATTGTCAGCAAGATATACTTTTCAAAAATTTCCAGATTTGAAATTTTGGAACAACTTCTTGCTTGGAGATGAATGGAAAGATGCACCAGAATCTAAAATCCATTATTCAACCGGGCTGTTCACACTAAGGATTAGAGCATCCCCAATGTCCTCTGCTGAATTTACAGAATCATTGTCATCTCCAAATTTCTGATTCTGTTTCTTCTTTGGCTTTGTATAGTTCGTCCGAAAGTACCCTTTTTCTCCACAGTTCCAACAAGTCACGTTTGATCTGTTCAGGGATTTTCCTCGATTCTTTGATTTTGATCGACCATGTTGATTTTGGCCTTTCATCTTGCTTCTCTCCCTTCGATCAACGCTGAGAGAACTGTCTGATGAATCTCCCACTTCTCGTTTGTGAATACTTTCGCTAAGAACAACATCACGAATTTCATCAAATTTTAGTTTTTCAGATCCACGGGAACTGCTAATCGCAGCAACAACAGTATCCCAAGACTCGGGCAGAGATGACATCAAAATCAACGCCTTAATTTCATCTTCGAAATTAATATCCACAGAATTGAGTTGACTCACAATCATATTGAACTCGTTTATATGATCAGAAACGGATCCATTCTCAGACATCTGTAAATTGAACAATCTACGCATCAAATATACCTTGTTCATAGCCGATGATTTTTCATACATGTTTGACAGTGCCTTTAACAGACCGGACGTAGTCTTCTCCTTCACGATGTTGAACGCCACGTTTCTTGACAAAGTCAACCGGATCAACCCTAGAGCCTGGCGATCCTTGAATTTCCACTTCTCCTCCGTCATGGATTCCGGCTTCACCCCGGTCAACGGTTCGTGAAGATATTTCTGGTACAAATAATCTTCGATCTGCATCTTCCAAAAACTGAAATCGGATCCATCAAACTTCTCGATTTAAAGCTTCGAACTATCCATCTTCAGTGATCGTGTTGAATCTCCTTGGCTCTGATACAGTTGTTATGATCGAATTCACGCACACACACTGGATGAATGAAGAACACAAGAACTTTCAAGATGAGAAATCTAGAGAGAGAGAGAACCCAATATTTCGTGGTAACACCCCGTGAGTAAACTTCCACGGCAGTGAGGTATATTTATATTAATAAATCAGAGTATTTTTGGTTACAGAGGATAAATAGGAAAGCCTAAAATAGAGAATAAATAGAAAAATCTAAAATAGAGAATAAATAGGAAAACCTAAAATTAATCAGGCTCCACTACCTAACAATACTCTTGTCTTTTTCTCTTTATGATTTTAGTCTTATAAGCTTGATTTTGTAACAGTAACTAGTTAGTTACTAATATTAGTACTCCATATTTTTAAATTTAAGGTATAAATTATTGATCACTAGTCTTGCTAAATTATTGATTTACTCAATGAATTACTATTAAAGTTTAAGATCAAACTAATAATTTAATATATTTTTTGTTGTAAATTATTAAAAATCTATTAATTAAATAATTTAATAAGATTTTTTTGATATTCAATTTTTGATCGATTTGATATTTTACACGTTGCATTAAACCTTTGCCATTACCAATTTTTTTTTCAAACACACATTTATTCTCTTACTATTTTTCGTCTTCCGAACCGCTCCGCCCACAATTTAGCGCAGTCTTTCTTCAAAAAGTTGACTAATTGATTTATTCCAAATATACAAGTTACAACTATTCAATATATACATTCAATCATTGGTGCTATGTATACCCTTCTCCTCATTCATCTGTATCCATATCAAACTAAAATAATTTTTGCTCATATTTTGACCAATTTATTTATTCCAAACTTATTTTAACCTAGTCTACAATAATAAAAAAATAATTGAGAAATGTTATGTGAATAAGGAGTAGATCTGTCCTATGTATTAGGTTATAAACCACACAAAACAAAGTAATCTGTATTAGTAAATTTGATGAATGAATTTGATTTCTGAAGGCAAATTCTTTACTTTTATTTGTAAGAAGTTTTGAACATGGAACTCTCAAACCTAAATTACGCGCTGAAAGAGTCACAAGATATTTATTTTCTATATAAATAAAATCTTAAAAAATGGGATGCAATGAATTGTATTTGGAGGTGGATGTGGATGTATAGAGAAAATGGTTGAATTGTCAAAAGAGATGCCCTACAAATATTAAATGCAAATACTTTTCTACTTAACCATTCTATATACGACTCTTTCTGCATTAATTATTATGGCGACCAGCTACTATACATACATAAAAATTACGTACGCTGTCCTTGACTTATTGTTTGAAACTTGCAACTACAATTCTTCTTTATCATCATTTGACATTTCCCCTTCTTCTTATTCCTATTTTTATTTAAATATAGGAATATTTCTTTCAAAGGAAGAAAATATATATTTCCTTCAACACCACTATATATAGACTTAATTCCATAATCCTGTTAATTTAATTGATGGCTAAAGAACGGTCTATGGAGGCAACCCCTACGTGGGCAATTGCTGTGGTTTGCTTCATCTTGCTCGCTATTTCTATTTTTATTGAACAAATTATTCATCACATTGGAGAGGTACCTACTATATAATTTCAAAATCTTTTACTAGATCGATATGAACAAAATATGCTTATTAATTGTTGGGAAAACCATTTTCTTTTTTAGTGGTTACTGGAAAAGCGGAAAAAGTCTCTATATGAAGCACTTGAAAAGATCAAAGCTGGTAAATTCAAAATACAGTCTTGTATTATAAAATAATATAGTTTAAAGATGGATCATACTCATGACATTTTTGGTGTGTGTGTGTCGGACAGAACTTATGCTGTTGGGATTCTTATCACTGTTGTTGACAGTGTTGCAAGATCCAGTTTCTAACTTATGTGTCCCCAAGAGTGTTGGTTATTCATGGCATCCTTGTATGGCAAAGGAAGATGCCAAGTCTGAGTATGATGACCCTTGTCTACCAAAGGTACGCAATATACGATAAGTTAAGCTCAAGTATCATATTTTTATATGATATTAGAGGTCGTAGGATTAAATTTCACTACCACCTAACTTAAAAAGAATTTTTTACGTGTTTAATCATCCATAAAAAGGAATTAGGTCTACATGTGAGGGGCATCATTGAGAATATTATTAACTAATAAAAAGTATGTGATCACATAGGGATGGTATTTCACATCATTCATTTAGGGATGACAACTTTTTATCTGAATTAATTTTTGAGGTAGAATCAAAATTTATTTCTTTGCGGTTTCTTATGAAATTTAATTTTAAATATGCAGGGAAAAGTGCAATTTGCATCTTCATATGCAATACACCAGCTCCATATCTTCATCTTTGTATTGGCAGTTGCTCATGTATTGTACTGTATAGCAACTTTTGCTTTGGGCAGGCTAAAGGTTTATATATATATATATCTATATTCATCTTTGGTCATTAATCCATATGATTTTCTTTTTCTCTTCTTTGGTCAATAATTTTCTATCTTAATTTGTAGATGAGAAAATGGAGGGCATGGGAGGATGAAACAAAAACAATGGAGTACCAATTCTACAACGGTTAGTATACAAGAATTTGAATATTATTTGAATATTTGTCATTTAAAATTAATTAAGAAATTTTACGTCATTAAAGTATAGAAGTATACATCATCTCAAGCCTTGTAAATAATATTCCTTCCCTCCATTTAAAAACTAATAATTTAGTTTGAGAATTCAAGAAATAAAAAAGGACTTTTGTAATTTTATAATAAAATTATATCACATGTGTTAAAATATCTTTTACTCTTCTTATTTTAAATATATTATGTAAAAAATTTAAATTAAAATATCATCAAAAATGATAAAAAATTATTTTATCGTATAAAGACACTCAAAAGAAAATCTGTCATTATTTTTGAAACTATAAAAGTATGAAAAGACAACTCTGCCCCTTAATCATTAGATATTTAGAACCTTAGACCTAAGGTGGAGTTGATTCAAAAATAGAAATATATTAAATGCTATTAAAAAATAAGCCCACAAACATTTCAATTTAGCTACAAATTGATGTGACATATATCTAAAAAGTTTGGACACGTCTATTGTTATTTATTTTTTAAATATTCTTGGACCCCAAGTGGTAGCTATTGCCTATTGGATAAGTAATGTGAATAAAGGGAATCATTTGCAAGTTGCACCTTTTAATACCAAATTAATTGACCGACACTTCATTCGTACATTCTTAGTTTATTTCGATTAGTATATCACTATTTTTATGATGTAAATATAAAAGAATTTTATAATTTATACTACTATTAATATAATATGTAATTAATATAATTTTAAGAAATTAATTAAATTGACTTTTTATTTTTTTTAAAAAAACATGGCAATTACAAATAAACTGAGGGAGTACTTATTATTGCTAGCTCTCTTTCTAGTTTGGTCCCCTTTGAGGTTTGACTTACTTATTTTTCCATTACTTGTTTGGTTTTCTTTGGACAATTTTATATTCTAACTTGGCAGTTTACACGTTAAGATTATAAATAAAATATATTTTGAAATTTAAAATTATACGAAGAAAATTAATCATGAGAAGTCAAAATGAAAGAAAATTAAAATTATTATTGTTGACTTTATTTATTGGTATTTGATGGTTGCAGACCCTGAGAGATTCAGATTTGCAAGGGAGACCTCGTTTGGACGTAGGCATTTGCATTTCTGGAGCAAGTCCCCCGTGTTGCTCTCGATAGTGAGTCCATCCATTATATATAATATAATATTATTTTTATTACGTTATAATTGTTATGATTGAAATAATTAGATTGAATGAGTAAATAAGTCCTCAAAAAATTATGAATAAAAAGATAAACGAGAAACATATTGAAAGATACAAATTAACGTGATTCAGTCAATCGATTTATATCCATAAGAGAAATGAGCAATCTACTGTATAAATATATATAAAAAAATATTAAGAAAAATAACGGTACAATTTACTCAAAATAATAAGAAGTTAATACTTGTGTCTAATCGTTTCTCCCCCGTACAAAACTCAAAGAATGAACTTCTATATATTTCTGTTTATAGAGTTAAAAAAAAATAAACTATCCAAATATGAAAACATTATTATTTTCCTTTAAAGAAACAAAAAGGAAAACCCTTAAGAAACTAGGGCAAACAATATCCCATATTTATCATAAAATTTATTACTAGTAGCATAAATAATTATTGTGTAAGGATTCATTAAACTGATATTTTTGTGATTCTATTTACAGGTTTGTTTCTTTCGGCAATTCTTCTCATCAGTTGCAAAAGTTGACTATTTAACCCTTAGACATGGGTTCATGATGGTAAGTCAATCTAGCACCAATATAACGTGAAATTATACGATATCCAAGATACTATTGAAAAATAATTATTTTTTTTGGATCCATGTAATTAACTGCAGGCACATTTAACTCCACAAAATCAAAATAATTTTGATTTTCAATTATACATTAACAGAGCAGTTGACAAAGACTTCAAAGTTGTTGTTGGAATAAGGTTTACATCTTTCTTCATTGGCATAATACCTAATTTGACTTTAAATTTTTACTTGACCTTCAATTTTTATAATGCACAAACATACACTTTACTTATCAAACTTTTAAATAAATAAACACATGAATCATACATGACACAATACACGTAAGATACCACGTAGGATAAAAAATGACACATAGAACATGTGTGCCTATTTGTTCGACTTTGTACAATTTTAAGTATCTACTTGTGCATATCCAAAATTAAAAGACATAAATATAATTTAAAGCCAAATTAAAGGATATATTTATGTATTATGCCTTCTTTATTTCCTCAAGCAATTCTTCTTTTACTATTAAAGCTATACCATGATAATTATAATAACACTATTTATGTTGCAGTCCTGCATTATGGCTCTTCACGGTGCTATATTTTCTGACTACTACCGATCGTACGTATTAAATTGGCCTTATTTCACATTTATATATTCTAATTTTGAGTGTAAATAAGTAGATATATAGTTCTGCGTGTCATAATACATGTATGAAGCAAATTATCACGTATGACATGTATGTTTATTTATTTTTACAAATTTGAATATCTACTTATTTGCACTCAAAATTGGAGGATATAAATGTGAATCGGGACCACACATATTTATGTGTTATGGCATTGAAAGGATTATTAATTAGTTGAATAAAGCATATGTAATTGAAAGTTGTTACTTTTAATATTGGACAGGATTGTACTCGTATCTTTGGGTGCCATTTATCCCACTTGTAGTAAGTTCATTATTAATTCATTAATAATAAGAGTAATAAGTATGTTCATGATTGACTAAAGTATAAAATGAAATTGAATTAATGAAAATGCAGATAATATTGCTAGTTGGCACAAAACTTCAAATGATCATAACAGAAATGGGAGTAAGGATTTCAGAAAGGGGAGACATAGTAAAAGGTGTACCTGTGGTGGAGACTGGTGACCATCTTTTCTGGTTTAATCGCCCTGCCCTTGTCCTATTCTTGATTAACTTTGTACTCTTTCAGGTACCCTTTTTTAAACTCTCACTTACTTTTATTTTTAGTTGATCGATTTATATATAAAAAGAATCATCTATTATTTCTTTTTCATATATTAATTTATGATGATCACAAAATTGAAAAGAAAAACTATGTAATTTTTTTTTAAAAAAAAATAAACGAAAAGAGTATATAAAATCGGTACAAACTCCTAACTTGGAATCTCATAATGATTTTTTTTTTGGTTTGGCAGAATGCGTTTCAAGTTGCTTTCTTTTTTTGGAGTTGGGTAAGGAGTTGGATTTCCATTTTTCCTTTTTTTCTTTTGGAATGAAATTTAAATATATTGTCCTGAATATTTTTTTTTCCTTCAAATTTTCAGTGGAAATTTGGTTTCCCATCTTGCTTTCATAAGAATGCTGCAGACCTAGCCATAAGGCTAACCATGGGGTGAGTTTCACTTGCAACTAAAAAACACAGACACATTACACTTTTAAACTCTCACCTGTTTCAGATAAAAAATTTCAAAAGTCTTTCATTGTTTCTTAAAGTTTATGTCAAGTCAAAACATTATGGAAGTTGATGCATATATATATTCAGGGTGATCATACAGGTCCATTGCAGCTATGTGACTCTCCCTCTTTATGCCTTAGTTACACAGGTAGGTACTCTGATCTACATTATGAAAATGTTATATATATATATATATATATATATATATATATATATATACTTATATAGAGAAATTCTGTAGATGGGTTCATCAATGAAGCCTATCATCTTTGGTGATAATGTGGCAACAGCTCTTAGAAGCTGGCACCATACAGCGAAAAAACGGGTGAAACATGGGCTATCAGGACATACCACCCCTGCAAACAGCAGACCAACCACACCATTGCGTGGTACCTCCCCTGTTCACTTATTACGCGGTTATCCACAATATAATGAGGACAGTGTTCAAGCATCTCCTCGGACATCCAATGTCGAAAATGAAGGGTGGGCTAATGAAAATCAGGAGGGAGAGATCCTGCAGCATGCCTCCACTGATCATAACAAGCAAATTGAGATTACAATGTCAGATTTTACTTTTGGAAACAAATAAATGTAAAAACGAATTTTCTTCTTCATTGTTTTAAGTTCATTACTGTAGTTCAAATGGCAATGATTTTGTAAAATTTTATACAGAGGTACTCATGCATGGTGCTCTTCATTTCAAGGTAAGAACCTTCTTATATCGATTTATAGCTACTTTACATCTCAGGTAACGTCTATTAAGTCATGGTGGTGAGATGATACTTTCGCATGACATACACATTCTTGTGCAAATCACTTAGAAATTACCTGATGATAATTAAAATAGAAGATTGTTTGATGCCTATCTCCTCAACTTTTAGTATTAGAGATTCACACTTTGCACCCACGTATATAGTGCTGGCAAATGGATGAGTTGGGTCAAATATAGGGCGGTTTTAAAATGGGTGATTATTCAACCTGCTCATATTTGATATGAATAAAAATGAGTTGGCTAAAATATTATTTTGCTCATATTTTCATGAATTAATAATACTTTACTTAAGAATTCAATATAGAGAAGATATTTTAGTTTTTTTTTAAGATGAAAATGTTAAACATGCTTCATTTAATTTTGTCGTATTATAAAAAAAAAATCCCTATAACTTTTCAATATAAAAATAACTTTATTTTTTGGTAATAATAAGATGAAGTATATTTTAAATTTAAAAGTAAATGAATATTTACATTTTAGGACTAAAACATGCTTAATGCACTTTAAATAATGCCAATACTTATGCATGATTGACTTATTTTACACTATTATTGATTATCCAATATAAAATTAAATAAATAATTAATAAAATATAATTATAATTAACAAAATATATATTTAAATTATATATTTTTAGAGGGTCAAAGACTTCACATTTTCAATTAAAGAGAAGAATAGTTAGTTCTATAGAATGACATAAAAAGGAAGAGTTGTTACACTACTTTTAGTGATATCTATGAATTTTGAATGAATAAAAGTTAGAAGATTAACTCATTTGGATAGTTTATCCATATTTTACCCATGAAATTCACTCACCTAATCCATTACCTATGGGGCTATACTTTGCTAATAAGAGCTATAGAATGTTTAGAAAAACCACATTAAAGCATGTAGAGCTATATTAAAGTCTACTCAGTTATGGACTTCCTTTATGCCTAAGTTGAAATGAATGACCTCTATATAGAACCGTGTATGCTAGAGATAAAATTATAGAAGCCTAGAATGCTCAGATACAAGAGCCAAATATGCTCAAGATACGGTAAAACTTTGGAAAGATATGACTAGTTGCTGCAATCAAGTTAATCGTAGCCTTATTCAATTATGTAACTGTTGTGTTTGATATAGACATTCCTCATTCAGATCTATATTCCATTATTAGCAACCCCATAGTTAGTTAACGCGTTATTGGGAAAATGCGGACAAGCATAAAAATATATATGGTACAAGTAATGGAAATAAAATGAAAAAATAATGACACCAAGAAATTTATGGGGAAATATTTGTAAATAAGGGAAAATCACGGGCCAAGAGGAACAACTGATATCACTATAGTATAGAATTTTACACTGCAGTCACGAATACAATACTCAAAGTGATAATTACACATTCAAAAGGAATAACACTCTTTAGATTTCCATTTTACTAAAATATCTCTCACACTCTATTTTTTTCACAACCCATTTTACTTGTATAGTCTATGGAATACTTCACTTTGCTCTCAAAATTATTTTTCTCTCTCTAACTTCGTGTATTCTACAAATGAGCAAATATTCTATTTATAGAAGGAGAAAACCATGTCTATGTCACTAATGACATAGGTAAATGAAATCTTACCAATTTCTCAACCATGAAATCTTTTATTTTCAACTCTTATAACTTTTTCTTTTTAACAATTACTTGTAGCAATCAGAGACGGATCCAGGATTTGAACTTCGTGGGTGTCTAGTAGACACATTGCTTAGATCACTAAATCAACCTTAGGTTTTGATTCCGCACAAAATCCATAAAGCTTAACTTTTTTAAAAATAATTTTACTAATATTTTAAATATATATTGTTCATTTATAATATTTCTCGACGAATTTACATATTTTAAATCAATATATATATATAAATGAGGATCTTCATTCCGCCTATGTGGCATGCTTCAATGATCAGAAAAATATTTTATAATTTTTTTTTAAAAAAATATGACTTTTAAAATTATTTCTTATACAATTATTTTATGTGTATATAAATTTTACTATTAATTAGTTATTTAATGATAATTACACCTTCTTTAAATCAAGGAATTTCAAAAGGCTACCATATTGCCTCAAACATAAAAAATTTTATTTTTATAATATCTTTTTCCTAATGTCCGTTTCCTACATATTATTTTTAAGTTTATATTATTATAAATTTTTTAGTTTTTATTGTTATTATAATTTATACCTTCTATTTTTATTATTATTTATAAATTAAAAAATTATAATAAAGCTAAATAAAAGGTTAAGTGATGTGGCAAATCTCAATCTCAATGGCCACCATTCGTATTTATCTTTTTTTTTTAAAAATTAAAAATTTATTTTTTATTTATATGATAGGTTAAAAATCACTTTAAAATTGTATTTTTTAATTATACCTTCCTCATTAACTCTTCTTTATTTCTCATTAAAAAAAATAAGTTTATGAAACTCAAAAGACTATCATTAATCCTCTAATAACTCCTCCTAAAGGGCTATTCTACAAAATAAAATGATTGTTTATCTTCCTTATATTTAATTCTCATGACTTCATCTATCACTATATAAGTATCCAAAATGCATGTTACATATGACAAAAATTGCTATCATCTCAATGATTTAGGATATTATGGTTAAATTTTTTTTGAATGTTTTTTTTTCAAATTTTCATTTTCAATTTTTATATGTACTAATTGGTTCCAACATATGGAGTCGAAATTCTTATTTTGTAGGTATATGTTCAAAGGAGCATGTTAGAGGAGTGCAAGATAATCAAGATTCGAGACTAAAGAAATGCTTTTATCCTCCACATGATGAGTAACAAGTTTAATGTTGTTTCCCTAATTTTATATATAGTTGTTGAAA